TGATGATTTTGCAGAGATCATGTTTATTTGTTTATGGGTGGGGGGGCAGGTTTAAGAAATAATTTAAAGAGAAAGGTATACTACACCTTCTTTTCTAGTGTTTATATTATTTGGAGACAGGATGTAGCTAACTCCCAATTTCTCTGACAAATGTACGCTAGTCAAAATGTTGGGAGAAGGGACTATGCTATGCAGGCTTACTCACCAAAGTCCAAGTCCTCTTGCCTATTATCATTTTTCTTTTGGTTGGTTTGAGAGTTGGAGCCTTTCTCCGGGGGAGGAGGTCTTTGGGAAGTGTGAGGCTAGAGTTCCTAAGAAAGGTAAAACTGATTATTGCTTGTTCTATAAACAAGAGAGCCATGAAAAGATGTGATTCCTTCTCTAGCAGCATATTTTGTTTTACTTATTTTTGTCACAAAAATTATACCACCATGGTAAAAACAACAACAAAAACTTAACAACAAAAAGCCTAAAAGGGAATAAATTTAATTTCAGCAAGTTAACCACTACCGATAGTTTCTTGTGTTATCTTGTGTTATCTTTCTAAGTTTTCTACCTAGCATCACAGTTTAGAGTGATAGAGAGGGAATGGAATAAGCAATTATGCTGGATTGATTTGGAGAATGTGGGAATCCAGCTCAGTAGAACACTTGATTGTACCCTGGAGATGCAAAGAGCACACACTATTTGTTAAGTACTGTGGGCTTACGAATGAATTAAACAATCTTTATCCTTAAGATGATCACATTGGAGCCAAGGAAACAGAGCTGGTGCCCATTATTAGAATTACTATTATATAATTCTTGTAACGAAAGTTTTCCTGTATTTGCACTATATTTGGCGTGGTTTCCCCACTCCTAACATACAGGGTTGTAAAATCAAGAGCTTTATGTTTTGGTTTAAATGCTTCTTTTTTAAAAAATCACTTAACTTTCCATTCAGGTTATTCTTCTTTTATTTTAAAAATATATAGGAATTACTCAAGGTGATGAGGACGATTGATGACAGAATAGTACATGAATTAAACACTACGGTTCCAACAGCTTCCTTTGCAGGGAAAATTGATGCCAGCCAAACCTGTAAACAACTTTATGAGTCTGTAAGTGTATCTTTTGAGTCTTTCTTTTGTGCTTCTATGCGTTTCTTTGCAGGCAAAATAAGAACTCATTTGATAAATGTTGTAACTAAACTGTGGATAAAATAATGACGTTATGTTTTCTTCTTGCTCATACCTGAAGGTGTGTATAAGTTTTGTCCTAGTTTCTACAAACTGAAGAAATGTGTGATTGTAGGCACAGTCTGTGAAGAGATGGTCCTAAGGAATGGGAGTGGTCGTTTTTGGCTCCTTCTTGGGAAGCCTTTAACTTAAGGAAACCTTATATACAAAGGAATGAAGGAGAGAGTGAAAACAGTCAAGTAAAATAGTGAAACAAGAGAAGGGCTCAGTCCTGAGAAGCCACACAGCTGGTCAAACCCGTCACACCTTCTATGTCTTCTTTCTTCCCTTACTCGTTAGGAAGGGGATAGAACCATTTGGCGGTTGAGAGAGAAGGAAAGTCACAGATAAATGTCTTTTCCTGAGACTTTGGTTTCTCAAGTATGTATTTTCATTGACTCTTAAAGATGCCCTTTATTTTTCTCTTTACTTTCTAAAAGCGGAAGGAAATAATGATGTAGCTAAGTATTTTTTATAGTTTACTTATATCTTTTCTTTAACATGGAAGCTAAAGTTCAAATGGCGCTTGCTTTTTTAGGCTCTACTGCAAGATTATTATTTGGATTCATTGTCTCATAAAGAAGGTATTACTTAAAACCTAAAGTCCATTTCTCAGTTATGAAAAAAAATCAGTTTTGGATGAGCTTATTCATATCAGTTAAATTTAAGCGGTTAACTGCTGCTATTTTTGTTCTGCTTTTATATGAAAGTACATTATAGTGGTTTGAGAAAATCACAGGGTTGTGGGCTTTGATGAGTAGTTTTGGAGGTAGGGAGCATCGTCCTAGTCCTAATTTATTGTGAGGTTGTTTGACTGTTCACTTCGCTTCTTTGGGTAGCTGTCTAAAGAACTAGAAATTATGATCACTTTAGTGACCCCGCCCCACTACCCATATAATCTTTGTAACCTATTTAATTGTTTCCAGTGTTTTTATTAATTTAGAGCAGTGATGGCGAACCTATGACACGCGTAAACGGAGGTGACACACGAACTCATTTTCTTGGTTGA